TGTGTGTGTGTGTGTGTGTGTGTGTGTGTGTGTGTGTGTGTGAAATAAATAGGGCCCCAGGGAATGGGAAGGGCCAGGTCATTCCTTAACAGGATGTGGGTCTAACTTTGCACACATTTGACCAAACATCCTCCACAGATTGAATCCTGGGCACTGAGCCAGTAGATGGGAGGGGAGGCAGTTGGACTCCCTTTCTCCCTTTCCATATCAAGCCTCTCCTCCCTCAGCTCTCTCCTCTGGGTGGAGGGAGAGAAGGTGGACAGACAGAACAGGCTTTCCTCCCCTAAATTCACCCAGCGATGGTCTGGGCCACAAATGCCCTTCATGTCCGTTTCCCATTAATATTCTCCCCTCTTCATTTGACAAAGGTGGACACCGAGGGGCAAAGAGGAGATGGCATTGATAACAAGACCCAGGTTCACAGTCCAGGCTGATCTGATCCCTACCGCAGTCACCAGCAGCCGGCCATTGATTGGCCCAAAGTTTTCCTGAGCATCCAATGGGAGGAAAGGGTGTAGTCTGGCTTCTATTCTTTAGTCTTGGCAGCACTGACCCCCCGGGACTCTTCCAGCCGTTTCTGCCCGCCCGTTGCTGCGCCTGCCTTTGTGCCCGGAGCGTGTTCTCCCACCTCCTAGGTCTGCCACCCCCACAGTCTCCGCCATGGGTCTGGAACTCTACCTGGACCTGATATCCCAGCCCTGCCGTGCGGTCTACATCTTCGCCAAGAAGAACGGCATCCCCTTCCAATTGCACACCGTGGAGCTGTTCAAAGGTAGATCCAGCGGGCAGACAGAGGAGTCTGGGGCCAGGAGTACTGGTGGACCGCGGCGGCTTGCCACCCCTGAAGGGTCAGGCTCAGTGTGCCGATAGGAGAGGAACGCGAGCCACCCAGGGAGGAAGCGTTTACATCAGTTATGAGCTGTGAATTTTTAAGAACCTTTGCCTGATGAATACAAGGCATCCCTCCAAACGCAGGATTGAAAGTAGAGGAAGTTCTCATGGCCAGGGGAGGGAAGTAGAGCCAAGGCTTGCAAATCCTCCCTTCTGGCTTAATTCTTTACCTGAGTATCACCACTTTGCATTTCTGCATCTTGGGGCAGAAAAGAGTTTTACGGGGATGGGGGCGGGTGGGGGAGTGGGGGGGTGGTAATCCCTCACC